CATTGTTCTTCCCTTTTTTTTCAGTTTGTTTGTATTTTTATCAAACGTAATAATAAAACATGTTCATCGTGGTAACGAAATAATAATTTGATATAAGTAAGTTTTTTCTTCTTCCCGATTTGTAAAAAATCCTTACGCGATAGTAAAAAAACAATAATATTATTTTCGAAATCTGCATAACTGATTTATAGAAAATCCGTTATTAAAACCAAAACAACTTTTACGAAGTTTAAATTCGCATGCCTGCGTTATTAATAACTTGGCAAGTTCGTTTACAAACTCGTCCCGTGTAACAGGTGAAATTTAGTAAAATATAAATAAATAAATTTCACGAAGACAAAAAAATGAATTAAACTTTTATTTTACATGCAAACAAACAAATAAACGAACAAATACAAACTTGCTTATGTCGTTTTTTTCTTCAAAAGTGAAATCGAGAAGGTTCACTAGAAGACCAAAAGTATTTCAAAAGCATCAAACAGCAAACAAAAACTTTAATTATTCAATCACACTGCAATCTCTAGTTAGCAAGAACGACTAGTAATTGTAAGTATGACAAATATCGTAAACAATTACAAAACTTCTTATGAAGCTTCTTGTGAAATATCTGTAGGCCTTAAAAGCCAATCTTACCATTAAAAAAAATTAAATACGTCATAAAAATTTTCCTGGCAAAATATGTCAACTATACTTAAAGTTATATTACGCCTATATGCATACAAATTTAACTAGGCCGTTTTTTATTAAATGATCATTAATAACATTCGTAATTGTTAATTTATTCGTATTACAGCTTGTGTAAATATCTTCAGAAAAATTTTATTACTTATTTATTATTAGAAATTTCCAGATATATTATTCATTTTATTTTTTTTACACATTTAACTAATTTGAAGTTCTCTCAATGGACAGAGGTAATTTTTTAAAGAAAGTTTGGTACAAAAGATTTCGTCAGTTCCGCATTTTTTATTCTAAGATTCATCTAGGTATACACATCTGATGCGATGCGAAAAAAACATCTTATACTTTTGATAAGTACCTCTCACACAAAACGGGAAACAACAGACGAGTAACATGGGGGCGCTGTCAGGGCGATAATGGCACGATGCGAAAAAGAACTGAACCCTAATTTTTGCGATTCTTGGCGCAACAACTTGGGGAGGATAGCTTTAATGCACGTGGTCCACATGGTTGAAATAGTATTAGAAAATACAAAAATACCCAGAGCTAAATGACAAAAACATTGAACTAAAGTAAAAGAAATTATATGGAAGTCCATTTCAAAGAAATTGGGTTTGGCTGGTATGTATATTCAGCTTTAGCTACTGCAAAACGCTCTTCCCCTTATGTGTGTCAGCCATTTTAAATGTACGTCAGCAATTTGTCAAGCACCTGGCAGTTTTCCAAGCTGTCGCATCGCAAGTGAATCGCCACTGGTATGATTTGCAATTTTGTTGAGAAAATATCGTATCGCCCTAGGACTTAGGTAAAATCGCGTTAAGTCTGGTGTGTAGAGATCCACTACTACCAAGGTAAAGCTTCCAGCCACACTTACGTTACAAAATGTCTACTCTCTACAAGTTTAACCGTTCAACTAACCGCAGTGAAATAGGACGAAAAAGATGCTTTCTCTCTCTCTCTCTCATATGTGTAGGTAAAAATTCACTTTAAACATTTATTCGAAACTCACAGAAAAATAGCTTACACCAAAGAAGTTTAAGCACTGAAACGTTGCAGCACATCAAGTTTTTTTTTGTTGTTGTTGTTTTTTGGCTCTCAGGACCATCACAGCGAGAGTAGCATCGTGTTTTCCGTAACAATTTCTTGGATAACAAATAAACTACCCTTTATTTCTATGAGTATATGTAGTCAGCTTCTCCATTTTAAGTTGTAAAAATTTGAACAAATATTGGGTCATCGAAGAAAAAAAAGATGGGCATTTTTAATACCAACCACGTTCGTATCGGAACTGGTTAGGTTATTTGTAGATTATAAAGCGGCTCTCAAACCTCAATTTGTGTTTGTGAGATATTCAAATTAAGTGTAAATTAATACAACTGCAAAAAAAAGTAAATTTTCATTTATATACGTAATTAAAATATTAAACCACGATGAAGATCTTACATTTTTGAATCATACTTTTTTTTATGTTCAAAGTATCAGAAATCAAACCTCACCATAACATGTGTTAAGACTACAGCTGAAAGCGGATCGAAAATTATTTCGAAACTGATTTATGTATGAACAGCGACCACATGTAACGTTCTAGCAAAAAAAAAAGAAGAAAAAAAAGTACGTTTTGAGAACCCAGAATGCATTGCGTGTAAAGATTTTATTACAGCGGCGTCTGTTCGAGGTAGAAAAACCACTTGGAGAAAGGGGTACTGTTGTAACTAAAGTTAGCAATATGCATGACATATTTATCTTACAAACCTTTGCTTCGAGATTGAATTTCATAATACACTTACAGTAAGTTTGATTATACGCTTTTCCTTTATCTTCTCTTAATAATATTATAGTTTTATGGGTATTTTTTTAGAAAGATGATAATAAAGTATTAACAACAGTGAAACCCGACACCATGACTATCAATTTTGGGAACAACGTGCGATCTCTATTTTTCTTCCATAAAACGAGTTTAGATTGTTAACTCTGTGAACAGTTACGTTTCACCGAAACGGTTTTCGCTCTTGTTTTAAACTAACCGAATTAGTTGTCGCGTACTCTTGGACACAGGTACACAATATACCAGTAAAACGTTTGACACATGACATAAAACATATACAAGTGGGGACTTGCAATCCCCGATTGTCTTATTCTTTGAATTTATTCGTATCAAGGATAAAGGGTCAGGGTGTTAAAATACAAGCAAGTGTGGTTCAGTAATAAATATTATTCAATTTGTATAAATAATATTGTAAAGCATGCTATACCTGGAATTGAGAAATATCAAAAGAAAAGAAAAGAACTTCTTAGATGAGACTGATGTGAACAAAATGTTTTCATCATGCCAACAACAACGTTTTTTTATTCAACAAAATAAAGGTAAATCAAAACGAACGATATAGTCATATAAATTTGCACCGTGTTAAAACCTCAATAACATGGCACATACGGTGTAGCAGACCTGATTTACGCTATTCCCATGCTGGGATCGAACCTGAATTTTTAGCATTACAGACCCTCAAGCTTACCATTCATCCACCAGGGAGCATTAAAATAGAAGAGAAGCGGCAGTTATAAGTAGCACCAAATTATGGGTCATGAGCAGGGGCGTCGAGAGCCAGCCCAGACTCCGGGGTCAGTAATATCATCGGGCCCCCTTTCATTCTGTTTATTAAGTTTCGCTGATTTTTCATAAAATAAATTTAGGTGACACATTTCTTCACGAATACATGAAAAAGCAGTAGCAATTTGAGCTCAATAATCAGTATGCATTTCTAGTGAGCTTTGGAATATCCCACTGCCAGGCCCCTCAACAGGCCTTGGGTCCCAAGGCAGCTGCCCCCCACTCCCTCTCATCAGCCCTGATCATGATCAGATAAAAAATGTGGTGCCACTTCAAAAAAAATAAAATCAACTATGGTTTTAAATGTTTAATTAACTACTTAAATAAATAAGGTTGTGTTTCCAATAAATTATATATGCACACCCACACATATATACTTTTTATTCCCGTTTACTGAAATTGTGCGACAAAATGGAAGTATTATTAAGCCAGCTGTATGGGAATGATGTTCTAAATTTGACACTGTATAATTCAACATTGTTAAAGTTGTCTTATACCTGAGTTGAAACCTTTTTTTTGATGCACCTGGTGGCAAGTACTCTTATTATATGCTCCACAAAATCTTATATATACGTAATGAATTTTTTAAAATATCGTACAAAATATATTTTTCAAATTTATCATTACCTAATCATGGATATATGCACTATCTAAAATATAATGTTAATAAATAAAACTTGATAAATGATTACTTAAATTGTATCAGCTTTTTGGAAGTACATTATTCAATATTTCTGTTGTGAATCACCCACATAATGAAATTTAAGTTGTACTGTAAAGAACACACCCCTTCAAAATAAAGCTGCTACATCAGCAGTAAGCCACATGATACAAGACAGAAATTCCCTACCAAAAAATATATATATATATATTTTACCAATAAAGCTTCATTATTATTATATATATATAACAATAATAATGAAGCTTTATTGGTAAAATTTCTTATCTTCAATTAACATGACTGAAAAAAGACGATTTAAGTAAATAAATTCATCCATTAATTACTTGTGGTAACTTAGTACAACTTATATGTTTCAAATGAAAAAGTTTCTGCACAAACAGTAGTGACACCAAATGGGCTATAACATTGACTCACGATGAATTTTTTACTTAAGACTAAAACACACATGTTCAAAAAAGTGAATATATTTTGTAATTATCTAATTTTGTATCATTCCACAAGAAAATGAGTTTTATCATAATACAATAAATAAAATAAGGAGAGATAAAAAGAACGTATAGGACACAATATAACAAAATAGGCTTATTTAAGTAAAAAGTTAAAGGACCATCAGAGCAAGCTGTGAGATAGATGTCATAAAAACTGACTGAATAAATGACTCTTAAGTTCATTATATGTGAGGAAGACAGGTTTTAAATGTCCTTCATGAATTCATTACAATATTTGCAGAAACACTGCTTTATGACAACTATTGTTATTCATTTAACACATTTTATATTCCACTACATGAAACAGTTAAGACTTTTATCTTTAAGACAGTAGTACATAATATGTCTGCCAATAAAAATAAATACTCATATAATGACAAAAGCATCTTAATGGCTTAAATATACAGTTCAATCTATTATTTTACCAACAATTAAAGTAATGCCAGTAGAGATTTGGAACACTTTAATCACAAAGAAAAAAAAAAAATTTCATTAATAGAATATATCCCAGAATAAATATCTTATTCTAATAAAAGTGTTGTAGGTTATAATACTTAACAAATAATAATAATTCCTGGGTAGAAAAATGTATAATCTATTTCCAGTACAATTAAGAATTTCACATTAAGTTTTTTTCCTCAAAGTACTTATTGGTTAACATGAAAAATTCTTAAATAACAAATACTTCAAATATCTGTGTAAAATGTATAGTACATAATGAAGAAGTAAATAAGGAAACTTTTAGTTTTAAAACAAATTAGCTAGTAACACTTAGGAACATCCAGGTACTACATACTAAACAACAATAGGCCTAAACTACAATGTTTTTATAAAAAGAACAAAAGGCCTGCCTTCAGTTAAAAGCCTCTTCTCAATAACTATCTTCGCCCTAGAGCAGAAAACGACTTCTATTTTTCACTTGTTTGACAGCATGAAACTACAACAGAACAAATCTACGATGACTGGTAATCAAGAGTTTGATTAATCATATCCTGGCTTCACCTTTTTTTTTTTTGATAGCTCTAAGAGAGAATCTGCTAATCATAAGCCTTGATCCCTAATACAGTTTGACTCGCCGCTTTAACTCATTCCTCCGCCACTCTGGCAAGCGGTAGAATTGAAGACGAGCCATGTGGAAGATATGCTGAAACTCTTCATTGGATAGATGACGCTGTAAATTATACAGATATTGAAACATTATCAATGTCCTGTATCATTATTATTTATTGACCACTGAAACACAAAAAAGGAGATCAACAGCATGAGTTAAAAGCAAGAGGTATTAGATGAGCAAAGTCAAAATGCTCATGTACAAAAGAAGTCACTTAAATAAAACAAAATAATAAAGTGCAATCAAGCAGATAAAAAAGGTTATTGAATTACAAAAATGTATGCTAACAGATGATTCCAGAGGTGTCGGAACCAGGGGCGCTGTAGCATCCCCACTTTTATGTATTTTGCTTATATAGCAACTGTAAGTTATTTTATTATATTATTTTTCTGGGGGGCATGCTCCCAGACCCCCCTAGATTGAGCTGCCTTTGGCAGCACGGGAGTTGCATTCACCAGTTCCTAATACTTTCAATCTTTCATTGTAAAATCTGCATGTCTAGCCAAGCACCCTACTTTGCAACTCCTTCCTACACCACTTGATGAATAGCACAGAGATAAAGGGAATGAATCTCTTTTACATAATCACAAAAATAATCATCAGCCATATATTATATAATCTTACTTAGCCAATTAGTTATACTAGTTCATTGGTTTGAAAACTGAGCTTGTGTTTTAAGAAAGTAATAGATACAAAAACTACTATATGTACAACAAACATCAGTAAATGAATGTCATTGTTACTTGTGAACTTCAGCCAATCATTAGTTATGTTGAACTTCTCAAAGAATTAAAACACTTTTGTTAGGTCAATCATTATGTGGACTAGACTTTGCATTATTTGGTTAACAAATAATCCCAAACAACCCACCCAGCAATATAAACTGTTACAACACTAGTGGTAGAAGTGGGATTATTTTGATCTAAGTAAGATAAAATACAGATATACTTTACTTGAAGACAACCATATATGCTCAAAGTGAGATCAAAAATTAGCTGGAAATTATGAAACAGTAAAAAGATAAGCAAAAAAAGGAAAGAGTGAAAATTAAAAGAAGATGAAAAAGAAAGAGACAGGCAAATAAGAGAAGAATTAAATGAATAGAACATAAGATAAGATGTACAGACAAAATTAAATTTCATCGAATACAAGATTGAGGAAGTCATAGGAAATGTGCAGAAGGATTATAACAAAATTAAGAAATAGAGAAGGATTGGTAGCCACTTTATTTTATAGATTTGGAGTGTCACATCAGATGTAAGTTTCTAAAGCAAACTTTGGGAGCAGAGGTAAATAGAAAGATTAGATATTATATGAAGTTATTGAACATTTTGAAAAATGACCCAATTACTTTATTCAGTATTTCCTTGTGAAATGATAGCTTCATGGGCATACAACCAAATCACAGATGCTACAGTGGATAAGAATATGCAATTAAGTGATAGCAGGTAGGTGTACAGTTTACAGGAAGATGTCAAATTTGTTACAGAACTTGAATCAATTAAATGTATGGATAAACACTGGAAGGCAATATTCAGAAACTACAAGATTATCAGATTAAACAGTGTAGAAACATTAACTCTCTTTCTGATGGAAGTCTAGAAGAACTCAAGGGATTTCTTAGACAACTGTTAACTGAGTATTAAATAAATAAACTACAGGACAGAAGGTCTCTCAATTGGAACCTAAGATGACATATTGCCAAGAACTGCAGACCAAAGCCTCCAGAAAATATAAAATGCTCCCAAAGGATGACACAAAAGAGGAAGCTTTCATGAGCATAGAAATCCTAATGTTACATCAGACTGTGATGAATAAACCAAGGAAATGGTATCCTCAGGATGAGAATACACCATCTACACATATTGATATAAGTGGTGCATTATTTAAATAATCCAGTTCATGAGTAAATGGATTCAATAAAGGGAAGCTTTGTAACATGTAAATTGACATTGGTCCTACAGCTATCATTGTTTGGTCTGATCTCATAATGAAAGGTGGGAACTACCTATAGAGATGAAAACATTTCCTTGTTCGGGGAGTCAAATATTTGGGACACTTGACCTCTTATGATTCACTATGGTTACCAAATACCACTTAATCTTGGCTTGACAGGTTGCATCAGTTAGCACATGATACACATTTTAATGCTTATTCAGAGGGAAAGGTGTTATATAAAATAACATAAAAAATGTAAGTGACGTATCTTTGTAGGCCTAGGAAATTACCTCTATCATGCTGAATAATTATCTTTTGGGACAATTAATGGTATACAATATATTTGATAAATAATATACCCAATTATACATTTTTCATTATTACCTTAGAATTTGTATTTAGGACTGACCGAAATCTCCTACACTGACCAAAACTCATGAGATATTATTAAGTTTACAGCCAAAAATATTATTATTATTAGCTAGGGTAACCAACTAATGAAAAAATGCATTATAATCTTGATTATTATAAACGTACAAAAATGTATATTTAATTAATTCTACTGCTGGCCAGCTTGATTTCTAGTTTTGCTCTAAATAAATAGCTCACTCTGATTGAAAGTTATTGTTATTCAGAGTTTTAAAAGACCTTTTTTTTTATATTTATTATTTCACATAACTTTGATACCCCATATTGTATAACCTATGTAGAATTAACAGGTAATTTTTTAACCCACTCATTCAAAATAAGAGTATAAGGTTTCAATTTTACTTAAGATCTTAAGCATCAGATCAGATATTTACACATTTAGAAAAATATTACAGTGCATCTTATAATTAAGTTGCTTCTACAGGTCAACTTTCTATCTCAATATGAAAATCTTTGTACTCTATCTTCAATCCAGTTCTCCTGTCTGACTACCTGTATCAATGAGGTTTATGCTCACTAACCAATGAAGCATCAGGTCTACAGTACACTAAATCTTTTCATTAAAAACTCCATTTTTTTAAGCATAAATGAAAAGAGTACTGACTGTTTTGTGCAATTTGAAATCACTTTTGTGAAAACACTTTGTGTTACGTATTAACGTATAGTATCAATATTTTATAATGTCCACATGCTTCGAGTCTTAAAAACTTAATTTTACAAATTTGTACTTCCAAGGATCAATGAGGGTTGTTTGTAATTATCACACAAAGATCCTGTTCACAGATGGTTACTTAGTAATGACAGATATCCTGGAAGAAATTAAAAACAAGAATGATCATATACAGACATACTTGACTTACCTCTAAGTGGCATCGATCTACATCAGGAGGGAGACGATAGTTGGATATGATTAACAAATGATAAGGATAAAGCTGCAAAGAAAAACATTCATAAGCAAATCTAATCTCCACTAAAACCACATTATTCAATACAGTACTTAATAAGTTATTATGTTTTCTGAGGTGTCACATTATTTTCCAAGTTTAAATACTAATATTTAGTACATTTCTCTATTCCTTTGATGTAAGCTATTTCAAAGCATTCCTCAAACCTAATATAACTCTTTAAGTGTATTCCTCATCTCTTATAACAAAACTACTAAAAGCATTTATAAAACATAATATAACTCTAACTGCATTCCTCAATTTTAGTAATATATGTTACTTAAATGTCTTTCTCAAATCAAGTGACACATAATGTGTATTCCTCAATTCTAAGTCTCACATAATACTCTGTACATTTACTGGTTGTACACATTCAAGCAATGTATTTTAAATACCATTATGCAACAGGTATAAACTCATGAAATTCTAACCTCATAGTTTTGTTTAGAAATGTGTAATATATCTGAAAGTAAACCTTCATTACATGAAAAATTTATAAAAAAACATTTGAGTGTTAAATAATCTGGATATTATTCATATGCTTTATTAGGTCATTACTGAAAACATTTAAACCATTAATTACAATTATAAATTTTTATACCCTAGGTGGCTCATTAGACAGGTGAAGATTTACGTTCGGCATTGAACATCGCATGTGAGGACTGTATGAAGGATGTCGAAATCCAGCAAAACCATCAGAATAGGGAGTAGAGCAAAATCCCCCACTGGTACTGTGATTCTGTGAGAAAAGACAATCTTTATTACCTTTGCAGGAATTTCGATTATAAACCATTCAACCTTGAACTCAAAGCCAAATCTAATGGGGGGGGGGGATGTTCAGGAAAATGAGCTTCACTTCACCCTGCTTGTCATATAGTATGACCAGATTAGCTAATAATTTAAACTACTCTTGATGGGGTAAAAGCATAAATTGTTGTTATATTGTTCTCGCTCCTTAATAATAATTTTCAAAAATGGTGGAGGGGGGGGGGGAGTCAGCAAACAAAAACAAAAAAACGTTTTTATATTGTCTCAGCTCCTTAAAAATAATTAAAAAGGGGGAGGGGGAGTCAGCATGAAAAAAGATGGTTGTTATATTGTCTTAGCTCCTTAATAATAATTTCAAAAAAATGGGGGGGGGGGGTTCAACAAGCAAGGAAAATGGTTGTTATGTTGTCTTACTTCCTTAATGATAATAATACTATTTTTTTTTTAAAATGGGGGTTCAGCAAGCAAGGAAAATGGTTGTTGTATTGTCTTAGCTCCTTGATAATGATAATAATTTTAAAAAAGGGGGTCAGCAAGCAAAAATTACTTCAAAACCACTGGACCGCACCATTAGGCATGACATGATGAGAAAAAGAAAAAACAATAATAATATAACTTGTTCATAAACACAAGTTTCATATTTACAATAAAAAATTTTGTAACAATCGTCTAGGTTAAATGCATACTTAACAATGATATATTAGAGAAAAAGGTAAAGGATTTTTTCCCCCAACTGTTATAAGACTTTTGAACACACCGTGATTGTCAACTTATAATATTTGATTGAACAGTCACACTTATCAAAGTGGAAGTATTATATAAAGAAGTATAGTTCCTCCTACTGATATGTTTATTAAAATAAAATATATTCCACAAATTCTAAAAATCTTATACACATCTTTGGTTTAAGTTTATTACTAGTTTTTAATTGATCTAAAATTTGCTTACCAAAAATGGCCTATCTTGTTCTGAGACTGTTGATACTGCAAAAAACAACATTAATTTCCAATATGTTAGTAAAACTTTCTGGACTTTTGTTTGTGTGTGTGTGTCAAAAAAGTACTGCATCTTATGATATAATTTATGTTAATAGAGTGGGTGCAAACTCATTGAAGTACCTCATTAAACAACTTATGAACATATAAATTACTCTCAATTGCACAGCACATAATCCACATGATAGCAAAATGACATCTTAATATATTTTCCATCATGCATCAAGTGAACAATTGTTCTTTTAAAGCTTCTATATACAACCGATTACCAAGAAACAATTCATTGGGAACATACAATAAATTACAAAACTACAAAATGACATCTTAATATATTTTCCATCATGCATCAAGTGAACAATTGTTCTTTTAAAGCTTCTATATACAACCAATTACCAAGAAACAATTCATTGGGAACATACAATAAATTACTAAAACTACAAAATTAATCCTTTGAAACTTTTGATAGAAATTGCTTTGAAGTTTTTTAACCCAGCTTAACTTAGTAGTAAAGATAATTTAATGCAATTAAGATTCCAAATTGCTAAAGATATTTTTCACCTTTTCTTGTAATGTTTCTTCAGTAAACCATGTGGAACAAATAATAAAATATTATGAAACTGTGTCTTGTCTATGAATTATTAAAAATTTTGTTGTTAAAGTTATTCTTTAATATCTACTATTCTGACAAAATAGTGAAACTAGGTAACTTTTTTAGTACTCATTTAGTACCTTTTAAGCATCAAATAAACTTTAAAGTACCACTTGGAAGTAAGATTTTAATATATCACTTGGGTAATTCTGAGATTACCTAGAGCTCACACAGAATCAAAATAAAAAAATATTTAAACCAATTTTCCAAACCTCAAATAAACTAAGGATCCATATCATCAGGCCTAATTCTAGAAGAACTTCCATTAAATAAAAAACAGTGGTTGCCACAATACTTATGCTTCAAAGAAATGTGTCATATAAAGAAAAGATTCATTTCTGCAGAATTTACTGAAATACAGTTTGTCCATACATGTTTCTTACATCTGATGCAATATTTACTAAGGATATTATAAGAGACACTTAAGATAATAAAATATTAGAATAAAAAAAAGGGTAAAGTTATCAAATCCTAGTAGCTCAGATAATAAATCAAAAGTGTTGATATTATCTAATGGCTGACATCATAGGAACCTAACAACTGGTTAAATTTCACACACTATTATGGTTTTAGTGGTATCATTAAAGACAGACAGTAAAAAAGAATAAAGTATGATCATGTCTGTCCTATCTTTGAAACTATGCAAAGCATGCATCAGTTTAACCAGAGTTCTCCACTCTCTCATCTTCCTTCCACATGACATATTGCACCTGTGTTGGGAGAACTACATAAGCTCTGCTTTCTCACCAAAGTCCAAATTTCTTACTTGCAGTCATGATGGAAAAAAAAACCTCATATCTCCTAGTTGTGGTGAGGTGAATGGGAACGTAATTCAGAGATGAATACCTGTTTTAATGCTAAAAATTCAAATCAGGTAGACTTACCTCTGAAATACTAAAAGACAATGCTCATACTGAGATGGAGAAGGAAACCAGAGAAAGTGATAAGGACAAATGGTTCACCAAAAGTTGTGCACTTAGGCAGAAAGAGAACAACCTGGACCACAACAAGGAAAGAGTGATCAAGCACAGCTTGAGTAGAATCCAGAGTAGATTTCAATGAACTGAATTCATAGAAGAATTAAGTGGAGCAAATGAGCCTCATAAAATATTTGACCAAAATGAGGAAACTCAAAAGGAAAGGCATTCCTTTCAGCAGGGTACCTCATCATCCTAGATACCCATTAAATAATATATACATATATTCAAGGAGGAGGGTGTGAGCAGGCAGTATAGTAGAAGATTCTCAGAGGGGGATGTCAAATGGGTGTTCAATCAAATGTGTAAGAGACTGAGTGGATGGAAAAGTCACAATAAGTCAAAAGATCCATGTAGAAATGAAAGTCAATGTAGAGTAAATTGAGAAGATCAGTAAACACTTTGACTACTCAACGGAAGACATGGTGCCAAAGGAAATGGCAGTGAACTGATAGAAAATGACAAGATAGCAAATAAATATGGACATAAAGATAAGCATCCTGTATTATCTACCTTCATCATCCAAGGCTCAATGAAGAAACTTTTGTAACTTTATATTTGTTCTTTCAAGATGAGATGTATCCAGGTAAAGATTGAATTGAGTAAGGTCTACAACGTCCCAACTTATTCACAAGTACAAAAAGACAGGAATAAAAACCTGGAAAATTAAGTGTAATAGATGATTTTTTTAAGACTATTTGAAATTGCTTGATCCATAATTTGTATGCAACTGCATTGTATGGAAAAGACATTACAACAAGACTGAAGTAGAATGCTAAATCCTAAGATCCCAAAGTCAGATGAACAAATGACTTATAGATGATGATCCCTCCCCCAATAGTCTGAATGGAACAAAAGAGTCACTGAGGGATTGAGAAGACTTACCTTGCTAACTTCTACACTTGACCACTCAGTAGGGTTGAAAGAAATGAATAGCTGATGTCAACCAAAACGTAGGTGAGGAAGGAAAAAGGATAAACATTACTAACTGATTATCTTGAAGAAGGATGACAACTAAAAATAAGACCTGATGCTAAGCCCTAATCAGTTCTTGCTGGTGCTAAATGGGAAATTAGTTACAGTGAAATTGCTACAAAGATAAAATGACACAGAAATGAAACTCTTTCATGGTCATTTAAAATGTCAGGTTGAGAGATGAGTACCTTGGAGCACAATATAGTGTACTAAGGTGTCAAAGGAACATAAGAACTATGTAATAATAGAAACTACATCAGCAAAAGTTGTAGAAAAGGAAAACTGTGCTCAAGAAGAAAGTTTCAAATAAGAAAAAACAGTGTGCGCAGCAGAAAAACTGTCAATGGTTAAAAACAGAATGCCACATGGAAAAACCCCTCCTCCAATTAACTAATTACAAAGTTCAAGAATTTGAGAAGTAAGGTGAGAAGTGGAAGATGACCCTACTAAAAGGTCACCCACATTACGATATGAAGAATGTGAAGGCCATTAATATTTTGTTAATTTCTAAAAGCATCTGCAATGATCGAAATATCAGAAGAAAGTGCAAGATACAAAGATTCTAGAACTGAATCATCCAACATGACACTAGCACCCTCGGGCATAACATATACTGATTCAAGATTTAAAACAAATGATACCTGAAAAAGAAAGAGAGATACACTAGACTAGCTGAAGCTTCTTCAGAATTACAGCTAGTTGTCAAAGCATCATCATCATCATTAGCTGTTTTTCCTTTTGAAACTTTCAATAAGATTTGCTTTAATAACTTCTGGTTTTTGAAATAAAAAATACTTACTATCTGACTTTCCACTGCTAAATTCAGAACTCTGGGTTTTTGACAGTTTTCCTAAAGCTAGGTCCCCTGGCTGAGAAAAACAAAAGGAAGAGTTTAAACTATTCAATTTCTGTATATCCAATAAAGAATCTTCAATATTACAATTAAAATTTTACCATTTAATATTTGTACAAGATAAGCTGTAAAAATCAAAAGATTGTTTTATTATCATACTATGAAAGCTTTCAAAAGTTTCCACTTGTAAAGTCAAATTTTAATAACTTTGCCATTTTAATACTAAGAATTATATTCTGTATGTCAGGACAATAATTGTTGATGAGAAGGCCTAGTTTACATGTATAAAGGTTAGAACAGAAGATAATTCTAATTATTAAGTATGTATCAAACTGGTATTTTTTTAAGTAAATTAATTCCACAATCTGGAAACAGAAGAGCAAAAAAAACTATTATTCCAAATACTAAGTAAAACGATTAGCACAAGCTTCTGCACTGTTTATCTTAATAACACACCAGTTTTCACTTCATACATCATGCAAAATAAACAAATTCATCAAAATATGATAAAGTCTTATTTCATAAAAGTACAAAAATTCGTTTTATGACAATTCTTATTCCTACAACAACTCTACAACAACAATTTTCTTAACAAATAAATACTCTTAAGATAAAAAGGTAAAAATTCTATAACACAAGTGCTTTTTAAAGGTGGACCTTTCTTCTTAAGGGGCAAACAGGGAATGGTGGTGTAACCGAATGAGTTATATATATAAAGGGAGTTGGGTGACGTCATGAAGGCCACTTGAGCTTCCAGGAAATGTATATTTTTCAATGTACCGTTGTTAAGATTGTCTCATTTCTTGTGCAACACAGCTGGAAACGAAAGCATTAAGTAAAAAGGTGTTAGAGATGTTTTGCTTTACGATTAGTCAAGGAAAATTATACCTAAATGTTGTTAAACTAATATAAAGGTGACACATGGAGATTGACTGAAAAAGCAGATCAATTTCTAAAGATGGACATAGAAAATGAACAGTTAGTATTAGATAGATAAGGGGTAAACACTGAGAATTCACACTACATGAAAAATAAAAATAAATAAAAATAATTTTTCTGACAGAGAACAAAATCAATGATCGAAGATCACCGATTCCAGGATCTAGATTTATTCCACTAGTTTGAACAGTGTTTAAATTAGCTAAACAATAAGCTTCTTTTATCTCTCTATCTGCTTTACTTTTAAAGTCAGTTTCAATGCAGAGTAACATCATTAACAGAATGACAGGTTGGTTGAAGTGTCGAGACTTAACGACTTATGATTACTGAAACGTTCTCTAAGAGTCGTTTGGGTATGTCCTACATACTAGTTATTGAAATGTTCTCTAAGAGTCGTTTGGGTATGTCCTACATACTGGTTATTGAAACATTCTCTAAGAGTCGTTTGGGTATGTCCTACATACTGGTTATTAAAATGTTCTCTAAGAGTTGTTTGGGTATGTCCTACATACTGGTTATTGAAACGTTCTCTAAGAGTCATTTGGATATGTCCTACATACTGGTTATTGAAACGTTCTCTAAGAGTCATTTGGATATGTCCTACATACTGGTTATTCAAACGTTCTCTAAGA